ATCGGCACACCTCTAATCACCACCAAAGTAAAAATCAACCTGCAAACCAGTGACCAAAAAGAGAAAACATATCAACCCCAAAAATACGAAGTGAATATTTGGATCAGGGGTGCAATTATATACTTTCTGAGGAGTATGCGAACACATCATCAATGCCCCCCCTCTCATATCCCCACTACTACATACAGCTCTCCCTTATTCATGCACTAATAAAATACAGTAATTCTATTATGGACTTTTATTTTGTGTTACATATTACAGCAGGTGATCATCTCAATCACAAACAAAATAAAAGTTTAATAAGGTAAAAATATGTAACAGTAGTGGGCCTTGGTGCTCAACAACTTTTCTGCAGTGGAAATATGAAATCTGAACAACATGCACTGTATGCACCCACTTGCATACAGGTTAAAAGGAACAAATACTTTAAAGTAAGACAGAAACCAGGAGAAAATGATAGAAGTAAGAAAACAATTAAGTATAACCAATAAGAACATAGGATGGAAGAAAAGTTTCGAGAGCCAAGAACTGAAGAAGGGAAGGAAGAAATGATGGAAGAAACAAAGGACAGAATAAAACACTAAACAAAGGAACAACAGAAGGATGGACGAATAGTAGCAGTAATGGCATCAATACTGGTTCTTCTGAGTCCAAGGCCGAGACTGAATGTTTAGACTTTCAAGAAATATTTCAGGAACATTGCTTTTTGTATGTCACAAAATGCAAAAAGTAATGAAAAAATAGTTAATTATTCAACCAAATCTACTTCTTGATATTAAACTAATAAATGTCATAATAAACAAAAAACTATTATTATTATATGCAGTCATACATTAGTTAGTTAGTGACTTTAATTAATCAGCTTATATTTCACAACAGTTGCAGGGTTTTCCACAGAAAACTTGTTAATCCCGGTGGTATATGGGCACTAGGGTAATTACCACCAGGTTCTTGTGTTAAAAATGTTAAGTTACAAAAATTCAGAGGTAGATGAGCTGACATAATTTGGAAAAACACCCTCGCACAGTTCAATGAGTCAACAAAAACCTAGCTTAATCCGTCTTCTTTACTGTGACTGGTCTATAAAAAACCCTATTTACAATAAGCAATACTTAACCTGGTGGAGAGGTAAAGCCTCGTCAGGCTTATGATACACTGGGGAAAACCCTGAGGTGGGTGAATAGATAAAGACATGGACAAACACTCTTGGAATAGTTAAAGTCTGAAAAGATTTATCTGTACTTTATCTTTTTATGTACTTGTCCAGAGATGGAAAAAACCTACAGGCACTTTAAAAGTGCCTCTAGGTTCCTCTTCAATAGGTTTCTTGCAGTTTCTTACATGCAAGAAACTGTGGTCTTTTTATGTGCGTACTTTTAAAAACGGAAAGTAAAACAGAAAAATTCCTGTGGACTGTGTGAAACGATTGAATGGAATCTTACTGAGGCTGCAGAACATGCAAGTTGAGGCCAGTTGCTGTCTGCTGTACTATATTTGCTGACCTGCTGCTTTGCTTCTCCTCTTGCATATGGAAAATGTGCGTGATGAGCTCCTGGATGTGGTCTCGTCTGAGAGCTGCCAGTTGACTGAGTTTGTTGTGTTGTTCTCGGCTGCGCCTCTCTAACAGCTCCACCAGACGACGGTTGTGGCGATCAATTTTGTCCCTTTTTTCCTGATGTCTTCCAGCACGCCGCTGCAGCCGCTGAGTTTCCTCTTGAGAGCGCAGGAGGAGCTCACGATCTGAAACAAAAGACAGACAATAAGGAGGTGCAGATAATTTAATCAGAATATTCAGACAAAGAACCTAATACTCACAGCTCTTCACCTCCTCATTACCCCAGGCAACCGCCTCCTTTAGTTGGTCTCTCTTTTTCTTAAAGAGCATGATCTTCCATTTCTGAAAGAAAACAAAAAATATACACACACATATTACATATAAAAAAAAAAATTCCCCTCTCACCCTCCGTGGGT